GAACCACAGAATAGAAACACAGTGCCACCATTCTTTCGTAGTCTTTTACCATTCTCACACTCTAGCATGACCAAGATTGCAGGGCAAAGCTATCCCAGACTGCATGCAAAAAAGATCGAACGTCTAGTCCAACCCCCTGCACAATGCAGAAAATTCACAGCGATCTACCCCCCCTCCCCCCAGTGACCCCTGCTCAATGTGCAGAGGAAGGCCAAAAACCTCCAGGATCCCTGAGCCAATCTGGCCTGGAGGAAAATTCGTTTCTGGCCCCAGAGTGGCGATTTGCATTATGCTAGGCAGATAAGAAAGGGCCACAAGAGCCAAGCACTGGCTCATCCCTTGCTGCCCTGCCTCTCACAACCTGCCTGTAATAAGGGGGGTGGAGAATGCAGGCATGTTCTGCACATGTCTCACTGAACGGTGTTTTGCATCCTGCAGCACAACCATCTTGCTTATTTGGGGGCCTGGTGCATGTTGTTTCTGTGTCCTCCAGTGGCCGGAGCATCATGCCTTCTGATGCCGTGCAGTCTAGCACTCATGAGCTGAGCTGTAGGGTGATGTCATCCATCCAGGTGTTTCATGGTTGGCACAAAGGAGACAGGTGCAAGGAGGAAGGGTGCTCCCAGTTCTGCAATTTCCCATGAAACAACTGTACTGTGTTCTGCTGTGGATTAATCATTGCAGCACCATGTAATCTCCTTAGCTGGACGTGGGGTCTACCAGGGGCTTCTCTTTTGATTCCTGTTTGGGACTGGCATGCCACACATTACATGAGCCACGTCCAAGCCTGTGCTACATCATTATGCTAATACAGTTTGATCCAGTCATTTCCTTTTTTTTCCCTTTCTTTTTTTACTTTATCATACTTTAGTGTCTAAAAACGCAGCAGATGAGGAAACAGATGAATTCCGTTTCTGGCTTGTTCTCGTTCATTGGGGGAAAACGTGCAACAGATAATTTTCTGCCACCTATAGGTGGTGCTAGAACTCAAGCTGAGGCTCAGATGGTTATGTTACGACTCAGTTATGCATAATAGGTACTTCCTGTGAGATGGACACTGCTCCTTTGTTGTCGTCCCCCCCTTATTTTTTGCATCTCTTTTTGGGGTGTGAATGTTAATGTGAAAACTCTTTCCAAAAGGGTAGCAAGATATTCAGTGGTAAATAATGATAAACTAAATTAGAAGCAATAAAAAGTAAAGATCTTTATCTCGTTGGGTCTTGTTCAGTTTTTTGGAAATGGGTTGTATCTTAAGGAATTGTGATATACATTGTCTCTGTAAATATATACCAGACTGTGAGGAATTGGGGCAGGTATTGGGAAACCTCCCATCCACGCACACTCAAATATCCCTGTCTAGGATCCTAACAGTCCAATCCAAAGCAGTGTCACACCCTTCTCAGCCCATTGACCTTAGTGGACTTAGAAGTGTATAACTCTGTTTAAGGCTGCACTGTAAAGCTCTCAAGAACTCGAGCAAGCTGTTTCCTCTCCCTCTGTTGTCCCCCTCCTGCTTTAACCGAGACTCAAATTCTTTAAACATTATGTGTCTCCTAAAGCATGCTATCCCCAGTCTCATCAGATCTCAGAAGTTAAGAAGGGTTGGCCATGGTTAGTACTTGGGTGGGAGACCACCAAGGAAACCCAGGGTTGCTATGCAGAGGCGGGCAATGGCAAAACAACCTCTGTTAGTCTCATGCCTTGAAAACCATCAGGGGTTGTCATAAGTTGGCTGCGACTCGACGGCACTTTCCATCACCACCAAAGCATGCTCAGTTTTCATCGGCCCGTGGGGGTGGGGGTAATTTGCTCTGGGTTAATTTGCAAAGCTGCCTTTTCCCTGGAGACTCCCATAGTTATGTCAGAACCCCGACTGAGTTTTGCTTCTTTGCAACTGGCACGAGCCATCCATTTTGTGAGATATTGTAGTGATGGGTGGTGACGAAACCCGCTGGGCCACCATTCTGCCCTAGTCTTTTCCCGTTGTCTCACACTAGTATGACCCAGATCGCAGGGCAAAGCTATTCTAGACTGCGTGCAAAAAACCCAACCCTGTGGACTACGCCCCCTCGTTATGTAGAAATATACCATCTAGGAAAGTATTCAAATTCAGTGTACTGGATGCAAAGTATAAGAGGCAATGTATTTTTTTTTTCATTTCACCCATAAATGTGCATGTTCTTTCACCAAATGCATAATAACAAGAACAATGCACTCCCACACAGAAACTTGCAGCCACAATTAGGTTCTCTAACCACATTACCTGTATTTCACTTTCTCAAATCGAGATGTGTTTAGCTTATTCAGCAGTAGGAAGCTGGTATATGTGCGTTGCTGTGAAGGCTAGCCTGTTACACTGGGCTGGTATATGGCTTTGTCAGATAAACAGGAAAGATAATCGAGGTGTGTATATTACAAAAGCGGTACTCTAGCAGCGCCTAGCACACCACAGTGTTGTGCTAGATTTAACAGCAATGATTGTAAAGCCTCGTTTTCTATCCTTTGGGAAAGCTTGCAACCTGGTTGCATTTGCATGGGGAGGATTCTCTGTTTTGTATTCGTCGCCACTGCAAATGCAGAGGAATGTGGGTTAGCAACAGAGCATCCAGACAGGAGTTTTCTGCATACGTTCCTCCATCACTGCTTTCCCTCTGCTTTCCCCCGAGGCACCACCAGGTGACATTTGGGTGGCTTTTTAAATAAGAATTAATGAATGGTATAGCATAATGGTGCCCTGACCTGGACCTCACAGGCTAGTCTGATCTTGTCAGATCTCAGAAGCTAAGCAGGGTCAGCACTGGCTAGAATTTGGATGGGAGACCTCCAAGGAATACCAGGGTCTTAATGCAGAGGCAGATGGCATTCCACCTCTAAACATCACTTGCCTTGAAAACCCTACAGGGTCGCCATTAGTCTGCTGTGACTTGATGGCAAAAAAATAAAACTAAAAATAGCATCATGGTGCTATAGCAGTAGAAAAGAGCAAGAGGCCAGTAGCACCTTAAATACTAACCAGATCTGTGGCAGAGTATGAGCTTCCGTGAGCCACTGCTTTCATGAGTCACAGATACCTGGAGAAGTGACCAGTGACTTAACAAAAGTTCATCCCCTGCCACAAATGTTGTTAGCAGGGGTCATTTCGTAGAAAAAGAGCTAGGGGAACTCATTAGCATAACTCATTAGTATATGCCACACCCCCTGACATCACCGGAAGTGTGTCATAAGCCACACCCCCTGACATCACCAGAAGTGTGTCATAAGGCCACACACCCCACCCCCAATGGTCACGGCCGCCCCCCCGGCCTTGCAGCTCCACT